CGGGCAAGCTGAGGGCGGAACGATAGCAGGAAGCTGATGTGTTCTGGTCTGGCAGCCAGAGAGATCGAGCAGTTGAAGGATCGTTTTCTTATTCTATCTCTACCGGCGAAAATGTTTCTGTTCTAGTCATGCGCACGAACCGGGGACGAAGTATGGCAGGAAGCCAAAGAGATCGGGAAGTAGAAGGCACAAGGCGGTTGTTCGAATTTCCAGTTAGTCTTTACCAGCGAGAATGTTTGCAAGCAGTGTACCTTACCAAATACTGCTCTAGCAGTCTGCCCGTGTCCTCACCCAGACACGAGACATCAAGAGCAGCGTTAAATTTACCCCAAGCGGTGATGACGATCACCTTGAAGAATCCAGCACCAGCTGTCACCTAGACGTAGATGACCAAATCCTTGTAAGCGCAAGTAGCGTAAACGTTTCTCTGTACGTGCTCGCAAAGCGGTGAACTGAGGACTGCGAAGTTCACACCAGCGACACTACTGTCATTTCTGAACTCTGGAGGTGGGGGAGAGGTGCGTGATACCTACCCTCGAGGAACTTGGGTGAAGCGAAGCCATGTACAGCAAACACAACTGATCAATATGCCCCTCAAATCTTGAACTTTGGCTCATCTTCAAGTCCTCATGGCTTTGATCAGCCACTTCCACATCCTTGCGCGCAGAAAACTGCACTTTCTGTGTGTCAAGTCTAATGAATGAACGTCATCAACCCCGGATCACGATAAATGCTCGCAAGGTCTCCACTTCACCAAAATACGCGCAAGCCACCTTTTGCGTCATCATCACCATTGTAGTATTTTCGTTTTCGTTATCATTCCTAATCGTCGCTAATACCCGCTATGCGCGCGACGCCGGGAGAAAAAAAAAGAGGAATAAGAAAGAAGCAATCAGAGCCGTTCAAGCTCCGCTCTCCAAATCTCAATTGTCAACTACGCATGGCCATTCTCAGCTTCAAAAGTTCTTACGAAACCCTGACCGCAGACCGTCCGATATCAAAAGCGGTGTCTGAACAAGCTTTTAAGCTAGTTTTGATCCGGCCTAGTGCCAAACGAAGTGTGTGGGGCTAACGACAATAAAATTCTGACGGTCCTATTGGTCCAACCAGACAGAGTCAAGGTAAGAACAACAACATTTATACATATCGCACAAAACTTGACACCACTTTATACAGCGGGCAGCAACGAACCATACATATGCTATTCACAGTAGGATTCACATTGATACCTAAAGTAGCCATTCTCAAAGTGATGGAAGAGCTCCCTGCAAGTCCTTCGCTAACCAACTGTCTAAGGGTGATTTGTACACGGGCACTAACTATCTCTAAGCTGCAAAGCCAGAGTTCCAAAGAGGAGTCGATCACTTTTTGCGGGGTTACTACGCACTGTCAGGCCTGGTACTACTTAGCCGCCTGTCTGGGCGCGCACTGTGGAATATGGACTGTGCGGACTACCTTAGTAGCTTGGTGATCCAAAATCGACGGCCGCCTTCCCTTTTCGATCATCGAAAGGCGCATATGCGAGACATGATTGGTTTGATCAAGGCTACCCCACCTTTGCTGTGTATTCGTAGATGTTGGTATGATTGACTTGTTGCGCAAGTCAAGCAGAACACTGAGCAGAGCAGAGCCAGTAGTTCCACGACGTAGGGACGAACTTGAACATGATTCGTTCGGAACGCTAGAGACGGGGGGCCTAGGCTCGTGCGTTCGATGCGAGCGGGATAGAGGAACAGGGAAAACGTGGGGAAAGCTTTGGTGGAGGTTGTTAGTGTAGTGTGCATATTCCACGTAAGATCGATGCAATTGGTTCTGGTATCATGTAACCCCCCACGATAGCAAGTCCCGTACAATTTCTCATTTTTGCTTTAGATCCCGAGGAGTTGATCATAGGGATCGACCATGATGTTGATACAATCTGAAAGGATGCACAAGAGGTTCGTTGACGATTAAAATTAGTTTCGAAAGCAAAGGTCTACCAATACTATGTAGATCTGATCCGACTCATTATGCCAAGCCTTTTAGTACCCGCCTGGGGTATCCTGGCCTTGGCGTACGCGATTTGTTTCCGACCAGACGAACGAAGCCAGCAAACATTTCACAAAGTGGTATTGACACAACATTTTCTTCACATGAACTCATCGACCGAAGACAAACAAACGAACGACATCAATCGGTATCGAGACCACGAAAGCGGGCATGAGAAATCGCGGCATAATACACCGATCACCTTATCACGATTCAAGGAGGCATCCGGCCATCGGCGGTTGGTTTCCCGATCTAGAGACCACCCGCCAATTGTTTCTCTAAGCTGAAACCAACATCACCAGTTTAAAATTGAAGCAATTTTAGCTCTTCTACTTGCAATGAAACAACCGAAACTCTCGGTTTGTGCTCATGTCCGAGTTATTTCTCGGTACCAGTTGAAGCGGAACGGCACCACCGGATAGTAAACACCATTCAAGTTCAAAGCCCGGATGTCGAAAGGCTCAGGTACACGGAAACACAACGAATACGTGCCAACTCTGGAGTAATTGCGCTTGTCATCGTGTCTAAAAAGAAGGGGAACATCTGCCCACACCCTGCGCTTTCCTACACGTATTTGGTCTCCTACAGGCTCCCGGAAATTTCTACCCAGTTTAGACCACACGCCTTTCAGATGGAGGTATTCAGGAGAGAGCGTCCAGGGTATACTGTCCTATCTTGAGCCTCGACCTGGGGGGGGGGGGGGGGGGGGGGGGGGG